TTTTTTTTTCCTTACATTCCCAATCTCTGATTTGATTCTTGGCTTCATGTACTGTACTGTTCATTCCCTGTCAATTATTCTTCATTTCAGTTAATGTATCCTTCATTTCTGACTGGTTCTTTTTTATACTGTTGGAGTTATCACTAAGTTCATTGAGCATTCTTATAACCAATATTTTGAATTCTACATCTATAACCAAACAAAACAGAGGTACAGCTGCCTGCCACAATAAAAGCCAAACTTATGAGGCAGATGCCGGTGCAAAAGAAAAGAAGTTTTATTCAGGTGCTGCACAACATGGGAGAATGATGAACTCTCATCTCAAAGACCATCTCCTCTTCCTGCTCAAGCCCACAATTCTGCTAGGGATTAGGGAGGGGAGGGCTTTTTTCTATCCAATAATCTTGCTAGCTGTTGGCATGCTCAGTCCTATCCACTCATATTTCTAGCTTTTCGCATGTTCAGAGTAAGAACCTCCCCCTGTCTCCATCTTAGCCAACAGAGGAGAGCTCCCAGCACTCTAACTGACTCTCTACAATAACACAACCAGATTATTATTCTCCATTTTGTTTAGTTTTTTTTTTCTCTAGTTTTGTTCTTCTCTTTCATTTGGAACACGTGTCTTTGTTTTCTCATTTTGGCAGCCTCCTTGGGTTTGTTTCTATGTATGAGGAAGAGCTGCTATGTCTCTGGGGCTTGGTAGAGTGTCCAAATGTAGTAGGTGTTCTATAGGGTCTGGTGGCACAGCCTCCCCAATCACCTGAACTGGCACTCAGGGTGCACCCCCTGTGTGGGTTGTGTACACACTTTTCTTGTAGTTGAGCCTTGATTGCTGTTGGCACATAAATGAGAGGGATTTACCTCCAGGTCAGTCATCTGCAATGACTGGTTTTGCCCACTGACCACTATGGAGGCTCAGCTGTGCAGGGGCCCACTCCACAGAGCTGGACTTACTTCAGCAGGGCGCTGGTGCTTATTGAATCTACCTCGTGAGTGCATAGCTTGTGGAGGTGGTTAGGTAGGGCTTCAGCCTGGTTTGAAGTTGTCCGCTGGGTGCACTGGCTCTGGGGCCTCCCAGGAGGTACAGGCCAAGGCCAGCCATTGCTTGTGTCTTGCCGGTGGCCACCCAGCATGAGCTACAAAGCAATCTGCAAATGGCTGCTACTTGTGCTAGGCCTCGATATTTTCAGGCAAGGCCAAGCTACAAACCAAGGCTGGCTGATACTAGTGCTGTACCAAGGGCAGCTGCTGCTAGTACAAGAGGTATGGGGCACACTGAGACCAGATACTGCTTGTTTGAGAAATTTTAGGGGAATTTGAAACATGAGACAAGACAGGACATTCATATGGAAAGGCCACTTGAAACAGCTTGGGTGAGTCCCAAAATTGGGTGGGGTGGTGCATCAGGGAATCATCAGGAATCTCAGATATGATGGAATCTCAGATAAGGCACCCACCGGCTGGGTCCATGTGGTGAGGTCTCATAAAAGGAACATTGGTCTCTGTCAGCACTTCTGCCTTGTGAGAAAGTAGCCTCCCAGCTCTTGTCCTGATTCCAGACAATTCAATTCCTCCCCATATGTCTTTGTTGCCTTTCAAGCTACTGCCCCAGTGATGGAGCTCCGAGGGAGTGAGTCCAAGTAATTTCGTGTGCAGTCCCTGTCAGGGGAATTGCCTGGGACTCAAGAAGTCCTCTGTCTCCCTCAGCCTCAATCATTACTGGTTTTCCCATCTAAAGTGAAGAGGACTTCTCTTTCTGGCACTGGAACCCTGGCCGGAGGACCTGGCATGGGACTTGGATCCCTCACTCCTCAGGAGGGACCTCCATAGCTGAGATATACCTCCCAATTTTTATCTGCCACACACAAGTGTGGGACCAGCCCATTCCAAGCCTCTGCCCCGCATGCCAGCCTCAATGTGGCTGCTTCTTTAATTTCCTGCCTGTAAGACTTCCATTCAGCCAGATTTCTGGTAGTTCTGAATAATGGTTGTTCTGTAGTTAAGTTGTAGTTATGATGTGGTTGTGGGAAGAGGGAAGTACCATGTTTATCTATGCCACCATCTTGACTAGCAGTCAGGGTCAAATATTTTTAATGTTAATCACAAGTCCTTCTTAGAATGCTAACTTGGGGGTTTTTTTCAGTTTTACTGAGAATTAATTAACATGTATCACTCTATAAGTTTAAAGTATACAGCATGATGATTTGATTTGCATTTATTGTGAAAGGATTGCCTGTCAAAATACCAAGAGTGTATTTCACAGAACTAGAACTAATAATCAAAAAATTAATATGGAAACCCAAAAGATCCCCAAATAGGAATAGCAATCTTGAGAAAGAAGAAAAAAGTTGTTCGTATCATGCTACCTGATATCATGATAATCAAAATAGCATGATACTAGTATAAAAACAGACATATCAGTGGAACAGCATAGAGACCCCAGAAGTAAACCCACAGCTATATGGTCAACTAATATATGACAAAAGGGGCAAGAAAATACAATGGAGTAAAGACAGTCTATTCAATAAATGGTGTTGGGAAACGGGACAGATAGATGTAAGAATAAACTCAATGGATTAAAAGATTTTCACCACTGGGTGAAAAAGGTGATGGGATTAAGAAGTGCAAATTGGAAGTCACAAAATAGTCACAGGGATATAAAGTATAGCACAGGAAATATAGTTAATAATATTCTAATAACTGTATGGTGCTACTTTATAAAGTATATGACTGTCTAACCACTATGCTGCACACCTGGAACTAATATAAAATAATATTGAGTGTAAATACCTGCATGGTATCTATCCCACTGTAGCACTGTATCATAATTTACTTAATCAGTTTTCTATTTAAAGACACTTAGGTTGTCACCACATCACAACAATGCTGCAAAGAACACCCTTAAACAGAGGCCTTTCAATACTTGCGCCAGCACTTCCATAGGACAAATTCCTAGTACTGAAATCACTGGGTCTAAGGGCATTTGTGGGTATTTTACACTTTGATACATATTCCTAAATGCATCGCCAAAGCTGTGTCAACTTACACTCCCATTGTGTCAATACTGGGTATTTTCCTCTACTCAGGCCAGTTTAAAAAAAACAGCCTTTTGTTTTAATATTCACTTTTTTAAAAATTATGGGTGGATATTAACATAAGGGTTATTTTATGTAATAATTAGAATTGCAGTTTTCCATATTTTTCTATGTTCTGGAAACTTCTGTCTAGGAATTATCTGTTCCTTAAATTTTTACAAGAATGAGTGGTTTTACCCATAAAACCAACAAGCTTACAATCTTTGTGAAAAGTAGTTCCTTAATAGTGTTCTCACTTCTTTGTCTACCCATCAGTTAAACTTTACTACTTATTAAACCCATTAAAAAAAATTGTTTCAGAAAATCATCCATTTCACAGAGGTTTTTATTTTTAATTTATCAACCTATAAGTGAGGATACACTCATTAACAACTTAAACTCTTTTGTTGCTGGGTTTGTAAGAGGCTTGTCTGTTTTCTTGTTTTTTCCCTAAACCACTTCCTGGATTTATTATACCTTTTGCTGTTCTGTTTCCTCATAAATTTATTCCCTCATAGGTTTTCATTACTTTTAAACTATGAGTTTCCTTAGGGCTGCCTCTTCTCTGTTTTTGGTTATTTTTTTCTTTAAAAGTTTCATTCATTTAAAAATTTCTTCCCATTCTAAAGAGTGAAAGCATTCAATACTATAAATTTAGTTTAGAGTGCAGCTTTAGTCATATTCCAGAAGATTTTTAAAAAATATGTATTGTGCTGCCTTTTTTTTAAATTATGCTTTCCTTTTTATTGAATTTATTGGGGTGATACTGGTTCACAAAATTATACAGGTTTCAGGTGCTCCGGTTTTTATTTTCTAAGCATCTTATTATATACAGGGTCTGGCAGAAGTAGGGCTTGCTGGAGTGTGGTTGGTAGGGTATGTGAATGTCTTGCACGAGATGGACAGCAATTTGAACATTTCACCATTTCAGGCCATGCGGTGTGCTTGGGTGTGATGTTATGCTACAGAAGTACATGCTTGTGATTTTTGTAATAAAAAAGGGGCATTATTTGTGCCGGACCCTGTATATTTCTTTGACTAAGAATTTAAAAGAGCCTATCTTAGTTGAGAGGTGGTATTTATACTTTTATTATAAATTTCTAACAAGAGTGGACAGAGAATTTGGTCTCTGGTAATCTAAAGATTTTATTAGAATTAGAATTTTTTCTGTGGTTTAGTATTATGTTATTTTTCAATGGTGTATTAAACATCTAAAAAGTACAATCTGTTTGGTAGGAACTAAAGTTCAACATATATCAAAGTAACTTTAAAAACATCTTTATGCTAAGTGCTTCAAATATATACTAAGTGCTTTACAGATGTTTTCTCACTTATTAAAACAATCCTGTAAAATGACAAATACTATTTGATTCCACTTATATGAGGTATCTAGAGTACCAAATTCATAGAGACAGAAGGCAGAACGGTGGGTTCCCAGGGCTTGCGTGAGGATAATGGGGAATTGTTTAATGGGGACAGACTTTCAGTGTGGGAAGATCAGAAAGCTCTAGAAATGCATGGCGGTGATGGTGGCACAACAGCGTGGATGTACTTAATGTCACTGAACTGTACACTTAAATATGGTTAAAATGGCAAATTTTATGTTTTTTTGGCAAAAAAGGCTTTTGACACAATAATTTTTTTTTTAATCCTGTGATCTAGTTATTCCTATTTGTAGGTGACGAGATGAGGCTCTGAGGTCTCAGCACTGGTGGGTGGTAGAGTCAGGGTTTAAACCGAGTGACGAGTGACGTATATTCTAAGTCTTCAGCATTTCATCGTGTTAATCCCCTCCCGCTGTGAGAGCTTCAGAGGGTTGCTCCCCACACCCAATATTCCCCAAACCAGGGAACGGGATGTGGCAGTTTCACCCAGATAACGCCAGTCCTTCACGCGAGAGTTTGCTTATTTCTCATGTCTTCTCAGCCACCGAGAAACCCACGGAGGGCGCCACCAGCACCATCGCCACCACCACAAACGGCGTCAGTGTCTCGGGGGAAGAGAGGGCCTCAGGGACTTGGCCCCTTACTCCGGGAGCTATAGTTGGGGTGGCACTGGCCAGTGCTGTGCTCATAATTGCAAGTTTGGGTCTGATGGTCTACCTCGGGTGGAAGAGAAGCAAAGGTAAGTTGTAAAAGATCCCACTCTCTCCGCGAGCTTCCCAACCAGGTGTTTCCCTGAATCCACCTGCATCGAATGACCACAGGTGCCTGTTAAAAATACAAATCCTCGTTGGGGTGAGGTTGGACTTGGGAATATGCATCGTTAACAGTCTACTCAAGTGGTGTCTGTGAGTGACCAAGTTTGAAACCACCATTCCAAACCAATTTCTCGCCACAAGTCTGATCGTTTTTCAGTTCTTATTTATTTCTTGACTATCATTTCTCATCAGTCCTCACCTTTTAGTTCATGGAGAGGAGAGAATAGAGGGACAGGAAGTTGGCTTAGCTCAGCAAGCATTAGTGGGGTGCCCCTTTCCCAGGCCTGGCTTGTGACTGGAGATATAAATAGATAAAGCAGAAGCCCTGCTTTCACACAACTCTGAGGGGGCAGGAGGTGCCTCAAGGGTTGATTGCCTCACTCAGAAAGAGCTATGGTAGTTTGAGAGGAAGGAGAAGAATCAGGGAGGACTTCCCAGAGGAAGTGACAGTGGCAAAAATTCTCAAAGAGTAAAAAAATGAATTAGCCAGGGAAGTGGTGAGGGGGTTGTAGAAACTTCTGTTCCTCCAAGCAAAGGAAACCATTCTGGGAACTGTAAGTAGCTCAGTGCCATGAAGGAGGTAGAAGATGGGAGAAGAGGACATGAAGCAGCCAAGTGACAACCTCATTTCGCCTTGTAGAGACATAGATCTACAGAGAGAGCTAGATTCTGGAAAAGGTCAAAAGGGAATCAGTAGGACTTAGTGACTGGATTGATGTAGGGATGAGGGAGCAGGAAGAAATCTCATGTTTACAACTTGGGCGAACAAGGCCGTAATGAAACTACCAAGTGAATTAGGGAGCATAGGAGGTCAAAGGCCGTGTTTGTGGGAGAAAGATGATTCCTCCGGTTTGGATGTGTTATGTTTGAGATACCTGTGTGGCATCTGAGTGGAGATGTCCGTCAGATTTGGATATATGCGTTAACAGCTCAATGAGAGCATAGGGTTAAAGGCATTAATTATTTATACCCCGACAGCATCAAACTTGATTTGAAATTACTTTAAAAATTTTGCAACAAGATTTTCCCTATTAGATATTAAAGCACAAAGGTGAAGAACATAAAACCTCACTGCCTACAATCAGATCCTGGCTGGGTCAACTCTGGCGGTACTATTACTCTGTGCCTTAACTTACTCACCAGTAAAATAGGGATAATAATAGTAATTACCCTGGGGGTTGCCATGACAATTAAACAATGCATTTAGAATAGACCCTGGCACAAAGTAAGCACTAGATGAGCATTAACACATAATTATTAAGCTACAATAATTAAAGTGATGCAATACTAACATATAATAGATAAACAGATAACAGATAAAGTAATTGGAAGAAAAGAAAAACCTCTCATCTAGGCAGGATAAAATAGACCCAAATTTAGTCAATTAAAAGGTAAAATTTCTAATTAATAAGGAAAGAGGAGTAATTCAATACATAGTGCTGGAACCATTGTATGGAGAGGACCTCCCAAAGTATGACATAAAACCGTAAAGCAATGAATAAAAATATCGATGAATTCAACTTCATAAAAATTGAGATTTTTAAAAATTCTACAAAGAAAACACCTTCTGGTGGCTTCTTAGGGAAGTAAGTATAAGGACCAAAAATGAAGAGAAAATGTGATGTAGTCACCAAAGAAACAAAAGATTGTAGTCAAGGATTTAACTCAGATGAGAAGCCATAGATCTGTGGAAGTATCATTGCACATGATTGTGTTTTTCCCCAGCAGTATTTAACCATGCAGTTTAGATACCTTTAGGACTTAGTGGTTAGGACTTGTGTTCACCTGTTAGCATGAGAGACCACTAGTAACAGTGATTTACGTGAGACAGGGTTTTTTTTTCCCCTCACATAAAAGGATCTGGAGGCAGATAGCAGAAGCCACTCTCCTTAGGTACTTAGGTTCCTACCTTTCCACTCACTCTCCTGAAGGTTGCCTCATGGTCCAAGGTAGTTTCTAAGATCCCAGCCATTATTTCTGAGTCCAAGAAGAAAACAGGAGGAAGGAGGAAAGGACAAAAATGCCCCAATTATCTGTCCTCCACAGAGTAAGGATGAGGGTCAGAGATGAAGAGAAAGTGAACTATAGTCCAGGAGCCTTCCTAAAAGTCCTACCCACACTTCCCCCCTATATCTTCATGGATAAGAATTTAGTCATATGTCCCACATCTATCTGTAGGGGAGCACACTGCTGCTCCAAATAAAACCAAGGTTCTGTAACTGAGAAAGAAGAGGTGAATGGATAATGGATAAGCAAATAGTCCTCCATGCCAGAGATGCCTGCAGGATTGAAGATTTACCAGCTCGGTGTGGCAGGACAAGGGAACTCAGGAGGTCAAGGAGCTGGGGAAAGGGCCCAAATGGAGAGTGGAGGACTCGCAGACATTCCAGGTAGCCTGAAGGAAAGTGGATTATCGGGGGACAAGAGCTCAGGGAGGTCAAAGCATGAGTATGGGGGAGGTGAAAAAAGAGAACTGGGAGGAAAGGAAGTTGTAGTATAAATATGATACTTGCATGGCCCTGGCTGGTGTAGCTCAGTGGGTTAAGTGCAGCCTGTGCCCCGCAGGTCATGGGTTCGAATCCCAATCAGGCACATGCCTGGGTTGTGGGCCAGGTGCCTGGTTGCGGGTGTGTGAGAGGCAGTCAATTGATGTGTCTCTCACACATCAATGTTTCCCTCTCTCTCTTCCCTTCTCCCTTCTCCTGTCTCTAAAAATAAATAAAAATCTTTTAAAAAAATGATACTAGCATGTAAGTTTAGAGTTCTCACTCCCAGTAATTAAAAAAATAAAGTCCAGGGTATGGCTGAGTGGAATGGAGTTCACTGGAGTTGGGGGGATGGATGAGCCCGCTGTGTTGGAGGATTGTCCCAGCAGCTGGTGAGACCTCCCAGGAGGGCAGTTGGTGGTGGAGAGGATGTGTGTGAACCTGGGGCCATGAGCTAGGGAAATGCTGTAGAGAGGCTTGAGAAGGACCTGGAGGTTCATGAGGTGGGAGAGAGAAACAGCCACCGCTCAGAAGGAAAGACAAGAAGCTGGTGGGCCAGGGCAGGAGGGAGCCATGCTGCCTGTGACAGGAGAGGGGAGGGAGGGGGAGGGTGGCCAGGGCTCAGCAGTGGAGGGAGCAGGTTTGGGGATTGCAGGGAGTTCAAGGAAAGGGGAAGGAAACAGACGGAAAGGTAGGACAGGGTGAAGGGGGCACAGGGTGCAGACAGCTCTCCTGATTTGGTGTTGAGGACAGAAGCAGGACAGGTGTGGGAGGCTTCAGCGTGCCAGCTGGGTGCTGGCTCTGAGTCCCAGGCCCTTCCCACATGGGTTTCAGCAGAGCTGCTTTGCTGCCCTGGTTTCTCCAAGGATGGTCTCGGAGTAGGACAAAGCAGAAAAGGCAGGAGGGGAGATGCTGTTCATGGACGGGACACTGACACGCTGTTGGTCCCTCTACAGGTCTGCAGACTAAAGCCAGAGCCCCAGACAGGTGAGTGCTTGTCCTGTAAGTGGGGGGCACTGATTTGGGAAACAAGAAGTGTCTTTGTGAGAACAGCGAGAGAGACCCTTTCACAGCTGCTCTCATCCTTGACTTTCCTATCAACATCCTCATACATCCCTAACAGGCTAGGCTCGTTGCTTCCTGAGGCTCTGGCTCCTAAGAACAAACCAAAAATAAAAAATAAAATAAAATAAAATAAAATAAAATAAGTCAAGAACAGTAGACCTAGAGGTTCCGGCAGTTTTTCTAATTCTTTCTCAGAATACCTCCCTTTTCTCTTCCTCTGGTATCTCCTTTTCTCCTCCTTTCATGGCCAATTCTGAGCTTTTCCTTCTTTTCATCCTGTTTTCTTTTCACCTAGAACATCATCTTTCCCAAATGCATTTTCCTGTTCCACACTTTTTCCACTTTCGTGTTCATCGTCCAGTCTCCCTTTTCCCGGCTGAGGTGCCCGAAGGGGCCGCAGGAATCGTCGCCTCCATCTGCCTTTCTCAGAGCACCGCCCTGCAGAGCTCCCAGCCTGGCCTCCTCCCTGTGCCTGGGCTCCCTCCTGTCCTGTCCTCCTCACCCTCCCAGCAGTTTCCTTTTCTCCATCCTTCTTCCCATTTCCACACTTTCCTTTCCCTAAGTCCCTCTCCCTCCTTTCTCTGTCTCCCTGACTTTCTGCCAGCTGCCTTGCTCGGCTTCCCTCCCAGGATGGTGTCTCCTCCTGGGGACCGAGGCCTGAGCACCCACCCAGAGGCTCTGAGATGAGCTTCATGGTTTTCCTTCTCCAGTCTTAACCGAGGTAGTGCCAGCCGAGGAGACGGGAACTCCCCCTTCCGATTTCCCCTCCTGTGTCCCCTTCCTACAAAAGTGGCTTCCCCAGAACAATCCCCCTTCTGTTGGCGCTCAGGGGCCGCTCGCTCCTGGGCTACAGCACAAATCGCCTTTCATTGCTCTTCCGGGCAGCCAGCCGCCTGCTGAGAGCCTCAAACCATTGCCTGCACCTTCCAAGTCGGTCCAAGCAGGTCGCAGAGCCCCCCACAGGAAAACCGGCCAGATGCAGGCGTTAACTCTTCTCTGCTCACCCTCTGACACGTTTCCCACCCTTTCCTTCCCACACAGGGGATCCTCCCATAACACTGAGGAGAAGTATGAGAACGTTGGGAGGAAAGGTCAGTTCTACCACCGTCACTGCCCACTCTCCACCTCGGCCCTTTCTTCTTCCCCACACACTCCACCACCACCCCCAACACGTGCCCCTTGGCATTTTCCACTCCCCTCCTGCCTCACGCACCCCTCCCACGTGACCCTGGTCCTCAACCAGCTGATGATCTCACTGCCAAGCCCTCCGCCCGTTTCTCTATCTTGGCTACCATGCCACCTGACCCTGGCCCATCTTGATTTTTTCCTAGAACAACATGAAGACCCCAAGCTGGGCCCAAAGGTAAGCAGCTCAGGCTAGAGGCTGAAAGAATTACGGGAAGCTTGGAGAAGGCGGCTAGAAAGAGCAGAGGGACTGTGGTGTCGGCAGGGCTCTTGGGTGAGGGGTCACCGCTCTACGGCAGGGTCAGCTCCCCTCCACTTCTAGCCCCTTCTCTTTCTGTTCTCACCAGGTTGATGGCATCCTCTATGCCTCCCTCGTCCTCTCTGGCTCGACCTCACCGTCAGCACCTCCCCGCCGCCTTCCCCACAACAGCCCCCAGGAAGAGACCGTGTACTCTACCCTAAAGGCCTAAGGAGTGGGACTGAATGACGGCCTCCTTAGAGTAAGCCGCTCAGAGGGGTCAGCACTTCCCATAATACTTCCCATAATGATCCCCGCCAGACACAGATGACTCAGAGGTCAACAGGGGTCAAAGGCCACCAAGGACCTGAGAGAAACAGCCACCGGCTCCAGTTCCTTGTCCACAAAAAGAAAAGTACCAGGCCACAAATATTTTTAAAAAATGAATGCATCTAAGGAGAAAACTGATGTCACCTTCAACTTCTGTCCTTCTTGCTAAAAATGAACTATAATAAACAGCACATACCCCAGGTCCTCCTCTAGTGCTTCTGTTCAGTGACCACAGGTCTCCAAACACTGGTAGAGAGCCTGGAATCCAAGTTCTGTTTCCCAGTCTAACTATTCTACTTCCCTTATAATTTTATATTATGCAGGCCTCCACCAGAAACAGTTTTGTTAGTGACATGGAAAAGGAGGGAGAGAAGCCCAAAGGAAGCATCTAGTTAGAGGTGACCAAACCAAGTAAACCAGTAATCTGTTTAATTAATACATAAACTGGTTTAGTTTAGCCAATTAACCTTGTAGCCAATGACCAATGCCATCATTTACCAGCTCTATGAAACCTCTGAGAGGTTCTCCCTCCTGCTCCTGGGGAAAGTGGGTGGGAAAACAAAAGAGCACAGAGTGACTCCTCAAAGAAGGCCATGGTTGACTGAGTCATCTTTATGCTGTGGCTCCACCCTCTGCGCCAACTCTCTCCCAAGATCTTCCACGAGTTGCTCCAGTTCAGGTCATTTGAGGCTTCATCAGCAGAGGGTACACTGCCAGCTTCCTGAGGCAGTGGCTCCTAGGGTCCAGGTCCTTCTGTCCCCACCATGAGATAGACACCAAAAAAGGTCTGGCACCATTCTAACCTCTTTTTCCTCAGACCTTGTGGCAGATGACATAGAGATTGTCCACATAGAAAATTTGAAAGAATTGACAAACAAACAAACAAACAAAAAAACCCTCATGAAACTATTGAATGATTATAGCAAGGTTTCAGGATATAAGATTAATATACAAAAGTCAATTGATTTCTTACATGCCAACAATGAACAAAATAGAATTTGAAATTTAAAACATGACACCATTTACATTAGCACCTCCAAAATGAAATACTTAGGTATAAATCTAACAAAATACATAGAAGATCTATATGTGAAAAACTGTAAAACTCTGATGAACAAAATCAAAGAACTAAATAAATGGAGCAAAATTTCAGGCTTGTGGGTAGTAACACTCCATATTGTCAAGATGTCAGTTTTTCCCTACTTTAGCTATAGATTTAATGCAGCCCTAATAGAAATCCCAGCAAGTTATTTTATGGACATTTACAAACTTATCCTAAAGTTTATATGGATAGGCAAATGACCCATAGTAGCCAGTACAATTTTGAAGGAGAAGAACAGAGTTGGAGGACTGACCTCAGTCTACTTCAAGGCTTACTATGTAAAGCTCCAGTAATCAAAGCAGTGTTGTATTGGTGAAGGAACAGACAAATAGATCAATGGAACAAAATGCAGAGCCCAGAAATAGATCACTATAAATATAGTTAACTGAGCATTGACAAAGGAGCAAATGAAATACTATGGAGTAAAGATAGTCTCTTTAACTAATGGTGCTAGAACAATGGGACAGTCACATGTAAAAAAAGAAAGAAGAAGAATCTAGACACAGACCTTACTCACTCCACAAAAAAAAAATTAATTCAAAATGGATCATAGACCTAAATGGAAACCACAAGACTACAAAACCCCAAAAAGATAACAGGAGAAAATCTAGATGAACTTGGGTATGGTGATGCTTTCTTATCTTTTTATTTTTTAAAAGATTTTCTTTATTTTTAGAGAGAGGGGAAAGGAGGGAGAAAGAGAGGGAGAGAAACATCAATGTGAGAGAAAAACATCGATTGGTTGCCTCTTTCTTATATGCGCCCTGACTAGGGACGAGGCCCACAACTCAGGCATGTGCCCTGACCAGGAGTTGAACCAGTGACCTTTTATTTTATGGTATGACACCCAACTAGCTGAACCACACTGGTCAGAGCCGACAATGCCTTTTTAGATACAATACCAAAGGCATGCTCAATGAAAAATATAATTGATAAGCTAGACTTCATTAAAATTAAAAACTGCTCTACAAAATAAAATGTCAAGAGAATTAGAAGACAAGTGACAGACTAGAAAGTATTTGTAAAAGACACATCTAATTAAGCAACTATTATCCAAAATATACAAAACTCTCTTAAAACTCAACAATAAGAAAACAATCCAATTTTAAAAATGGGTCAAAGACCTTAATAGACACTTCGCCAAAGATGATATAGAGATGGCAAGTAAACATCAATATTGTCAAGATGTTAATCAGGGAAATGCACATTAAAAAAACAATGAGAAGTCTATATACTATTTGATTCCAACTGTATGACATTTAGAAAAGGGCAAAACTGTGGAGACAATAAAAAGATTACTGGTTGTCAGGGGCAGGGAGTGGTGGTGGGCAAAGAGTGACTAAGTAGAGCACAGAGGATTTTTAGGGCAGTGCAAGTACTTCACATAATATAATGATGGATACATATCATTCTACATTTGTATAAACCAATGGAATGCACAGCACTAAGAGTGAAACTTAGGGTAAACTATAGTCTTTGGGTGATTATGATATGACAATATTGATTTATCCTTGGTTAAAAAAAAAAGTACCATACATGTTGTCACAAATGGAAGGATTTCCTTTTTTAAGGCTGAGTAATATTCCTGTGTGTTTGTATGTATGTACACATACACATATATTTCACATTTTCTTTAGCAATTCACCTATCAGTAGACGCCTAGGTTGTTTCCATATTTTGGCTATTGTGAATAATGCTGCAATGCTGCACATCAGAGTGCAGATATCTCCTTGAGATACTGATTTCATTTACTTTGAATATATACCCAGAGTGGGATTATGGGATCATATTGTAGTTCTATTTTTTATTTTTTGAGGAACCTTCATACTATTTTTCCATAATGGCTGAACTAATTTACTTTCCCACTAACAATGCATAAGGGTTCTCTTTTCTCCACAACTTTGCCAACACCTGTTGTTTATTGCCTTTTTGATAATAGCCATCCTAGCAGGTATGTAGTGATATCTCACTGTGCTTTTGATTTACATTCCCCTGACTATTAGTGATGAGCATCTTTTCATATAACTGTTAGCCATTTGCATGTCTTCTTTGGAAAAGCCTTTATTTGTGTTATTTTCCAATTTTAAATTGGGTTATTTGGGTTTTGGGGTTTTTTTTTGTTTTTTGTTTTTTTGCTATTGAGTTGTATGAGTTCCTTATATATTTTGAGTATTAAATGCTTATCAGATATATGGTTTGCAAATACTTTATGCCATTTCATACAGTACCACTTCATTTTGATTGTATCCTTTGCTTTGCAGAAATGCTTTGGTTTGATATAGTCTCACTTATTTATGTTTGCTTTTACTGCCTTTGCTTTTGGTGTTGTATCTAAAAAAATCATGACCAAGATCAATATCAAGGAGCTTTGTCCCTATGTTTTTTCCTAGGAGTCTTATGATTTCAGTTCTCACATTTAAGTCTTCAGCTCATTTTGAATTAATTTTTGTGTATGGCAATAGAGGTCCAATTTCATTCCTTTGCATGTGGATATTCAGTTTTACCAACATTATGTGGTTTTCCATAAAATTGATTACAGCATGTGTGAAAATGAATTACAGTTACTCACAATAAATGAATAAATCTCAGGATCATAATATTGAGTGAAAAAAGCAAGTTGTAGAAGAATATTTATAATATGCTTTATACAAAGTTCAAAAACATACAAAAACAATCCTTGTTAGAGAAGCAAATGTGATAAGACTACAGAAAATTTCAATGAAATGATAACACCCCATTCAAGATAGTGGTTGCCTCTGAAAGGCCAGGAAAGGGATGGGGCTGGGAAAAACATAAGGAGGCTTCAAGGTAATGACAATGTCTCTTTCTTAAACTGGGTGGTGAGTAGACAGGGGTTTGTTGGGTTATTGTTCTTTAGACTTTTTATTTATGTTCTCATGACCAATTAATATTTGACCAAAAACGTTTTTAAAAAAAATAACTAAGGTACGTGAGGAGAAAGAGGAGCATTCAAAAGGGGACTGAGAGGGAAGTTAGCATTAACTGGAGAAGAGAACAGTGTGTGGTCAAGGAATCCAAGAAGGAGGGGGAATGCAAATTTCAAGAAGGAATATCAAGTGCTGCTCCATGGTGAAGTAAAATGAACACTAAGTGTCCTTTGGATTAGTCAATTTTGACATTCATAAGCAATGTTGCCTAGAGCCATTTTAGTGGAGTGGTCAAAATGGGAGCAGGCTGAGCAAGAGAATGAATGGAATCTTAATGAAAAAGGAATCAGCAAAGATAGAAACGAACAGCTGCTCCTCTGGAGGTGGCTCTGGCTGCAAATGCTGACCAGTTTTCAAGTAAGGTGTCTTGAAGCAGAGATAGCTGGAACAATGGTCTTTGTTTTCTCTGTGAATAAGTGCTGCCCCCTTCTGGGAGTGTGGAGAGAATGGTATAGTGTGATTAGCCTCTGCTTGGCTCACCAATTCATATACACATTCATCGTTGCAGATCGCACCCAAAAAAAAAAAAAAGATGGCCACAAATTCTTTGCAGCTTCTGCTATCAAGAGGTGGAGGCTATTTCCTTATCCTTGAATCTGGACTGGCCTTATGGCTTGCTTTGACCGACAGAAGATGATAAAAGCGAAACTGCAATTTCTGGACCTACGCCTCAAGTGCAAATGGCCTTGCAGCTTCTGCACTAGCATTAGGAACTCCCCTGCCACCACGTGAACAAGCCCTTGCTAGATATTGGAGACTGAGAAACCATGCGGAGAGAGGCCCCAGTCATCCCACCAGTTCCAGCTGACGCACCCCAATGGGTGATGAGGCCATCCTAGATCATTCACCTCCAGCCAATGCATTCCAGATGAATCACAGGATTGTAGGTTATATGTTAGTGGTTTTAAGCCACTAGTTTTTGGGGTGGTTTGTTGCACAAAAAAAGCTAATTCACGCATTCTTTAGATAATTTTTAAAGCATACTCATATCTATCTGGTTGTTTCCAGTCATTGTGCTTTTGTCTGAGTTTTCATCCACTCCTTGATCCTTTTTTTTCCCACAGGGAAAACTCCATGCTATGGCAGTGATGGGAGTATCTGCATGACACTGTGCCTGTCAGGATATGACAGGATGGCAGGACACCTGGAACCTCATGAAGAAAAAGGTGAACAGGGAGGACTTTGAGAGACACCCCTTTGTTTGCATAAGTGGACAGGATGCTGGAACTCCTCAGAGGAAGGGCAGGGACAGACACTTAAAACCTGAACAAGAAGTCAGAACCGGGCAACAGGTAACAGACACGCAGGTAAATCAGAAAAACAGCTTGTATTTATTTCATGGCATTTATAGACAAAATACTCTGGAGCATTCAGATGTATCTTGCATAGTTTATGCTCTCAAGGAGAACCATGGAAAGAGGGCATGTCCAGAAAAAAAAAATGACCAACACCAGGCATTACTTAATGCTAAGTGAATAATACAGAGACTGCATTACAAGAGTTTAAGCTAGGGTTGGAAAAATCAGGGAGGGTTTTCTGTAGAAGAGTTGCACTGAATGTAGATGGTAGAGAAGAGAGGGAAGACAGCAGGGAGACAACAGGAAGAAAGGTCTGCAGGAGGAAAGGAGACTGTGGATTTGTATGTAAGGAAGAAGGCGGTCCAGCCAAACTGGAGTAGACTTTGACTTGAAAAAGACCAGGAGAGAAAGTTTGAGAAAGTATTCTGCAGGCAATGTAGAGCCATTGAATATTTAAAAGTAGAGGAATCCACTCATACAGGTCAAGTCTTCCTGAGAGTTTTCACAAAAAAGAACCTTAAAAGAGACATCTAAGAGTACACTCTGGACCCAACCTCCTAGTATCTTAAGCACTGCTTTCCCCCTGTTATCAGCCCTTTTTCCACACCATCCTCACTGCCTCTAATGAATCATTTTCACCAGTGTTTATATCCTTTCAGGACTCCTCTTGCTGCAAGCAACTGAAAACACAGGCAAAGCAGCTTAGGCAGGGAAGGAGTTGATGAGCCAGTCCAGGTGACTGATTAGTTAAATGGTGGGTCTGACTTTCAGCGCTCAAACTTGTCATCAGGCCCTGACCCGTGTGGCCCATTTGGTTGGGTGTTGTCCTGCAAAGCAAAAGGTCACAGGTTTGATTCCCTTTGATTCCTGTGCCTGCAGATTTGGTCCCAAAACAATGTTTCCTCCCTCCCTTCCTCTCCCCCTCTCTAAGAATAAAATCTTAAAAACAAAACAAAACAAAAACTTGTCATCAGGTCTGTTTCTCTTAACTGCTCACTTTTGCTCCTATTGTTTAGTTTCATTCTCAGTCACCATTTGCTGGCCCCAGCAGCAGTTTTGGCTGTCCTGACAAGGTGGCAAGATGATCCATTTTCCCATGGCAGTCTTGCAGAAGAAAACTAGACTCTTTTCCACTAGCTCTAGAAAAAACCCTAAGATTACCAAGACTAGACTAGTTTAGGTGACTTGTCCATCCTGGAGACAGTGTAGCCAAAGAGATGTGTTGCCCTGAATGACCAGGGCTGAGTAATGAGCAGAATACCTATGTTCTGGAAAATAAGTCAGGACTGGAATTTATATTTGTACAAGGTAGGAGTGCATAGCTCTAAATAACTCCTGACTTCTCCGCTCTTGTCCTCCCTACAGCCCTGATGCCAGTGGGTCTACCTACATGCCACATAACAGACAGGGCCCCTGGTGGCTATGGAGACCACTTGGGAGCATTGTGCAACACTGGCAGGTTCACAGCTGGCCTCTGCACGCTCTTCACACACCAGTGGCCTCCCTGTACTCTGTGGTCCAGGACCTGGACAGGGGACCCCACACCATGGTAGTGCTGGTGCCCACTTTACCACCTTCCCTACGTCGATCTTTATCTGATGACTGGCAGGGATCTGGACAGCTGTGGTTGCACTCTTGCATTCCTCAAGTTGGTCAGCACTACTAGAAGTGCGTGTATGGCAGAGGATGATTCATTCTCTAGGTGAACCTGCTCCTCCAAATTGCCTTTGCAGACCTCTATGTGGCCTTTATGGACACCTGGGAAATGACCTCCAGCCTAGCCCTGCCCAACAGCATCCTTTATATCTATTAACCCAGTGCCTGGAATACCCCTCTCCCAGATCCTCATATGGCCAGCTTTCTCCTCATTCAGTTCTCTGATCAAACATTTCCTCCCTGACCACCCTCCAATCCCAGCACTCTGTTCCCTTCTCAGCCTCTTTTCTCACATCACTAACCACAACCTGGAGTTATTTGGTTTACTACTATTACTGTTGTTGTTGTTTACTTGTCTCAATAGAATCCAAAAGGAACAGGGAGTTTATCTAACTTGCTCACAGTTGTAGCCCAGTAACCTAGAGCAGTGCTTGAGACATTGCAGGAATTAAAGTATTTATTGAATGAATTAATAAATGAATAAAGTCAGATGACTATGGTGTTACCTCTGCAATACACCTTTTCTCAACAAACTACATCCCATAAAAAATAGGCAATTGGCCAAAAAGTGTCCCCCTCTGCTGTTGATTACATCTGCATGACTGTCACTATTAATGCTTCACATTTATATTAGGGCAGTATGATGTTCAGTGTAGTTTCCTATTTTTATTTGGGACAACCCTCCCAAGAACATTCTCCCATTTTATTAATGAAGACCCCAGAGGTGGCACACAGCTGATTCAGTCCTTGGTCCTAGTTTCGGGAAAGCACTCTATCCTCGCTGGAAAATCAGCCTCCTGACTCGGGCTGACTGGGTCCTTCCTCCGTATCGTAGACGTGAGTGCCTTGGCTAGGGAATTGGAGGGTCCTGTCTCTCGCAGGGCCTATCAGTGCATCGTGGGATCCTCGTTTCCGACCATGGGACTCTGCTGGTTCTTCCCTGGACCCTTTGTTTCTGGATCCCAGCCTTCCCTGACCACCCTGAAGGGGCCTCCATGACCAGGAATGACCACGTCGGCAGTGCCTAGGACCCTCTTCCGGCTCCGTTCCTGAGCCACCGGGTCTTCACTCAGGGCCTGCCACGAATCCTCGTCCCCATTACGTTCAAACACATCACCCACCACCACTACGGTGCCCAGAGTCGTACCCGCCACGACCACGCTCACATCCCGCTGGCCCCCATGGCCCGGCGTAGCCCACACCTCGAGTCCGGGCCCCAGCCGCAGGGGCCGCTCCTCACCCAGCCCGTGGGGAAGGTAGCGGCCCCCCGGGAGGCAGAAGTCGTGTGAGACCAACAGGGCCGCCCCCGGAAACAGCCCCAGGTTCCCGATATGATCTGAGTGTCCGTGGGTGCCCACCACCAAAGTGACGTCTGCGGGGTCCACGCCCTGCCCTGCCAGGGCCCCGAGGAGCGCCTCCCGAGCCCAGGGGCCTCCAGTATCCACGAGGATGGGACCACGGGCTGCCTCCTCCAGGGTGGTCTTCGCCTCGCCGCCATCAGGCGGGGGCTCTCGGTGACTGGGGGCCGGGCCCCAGGCCCGAGGCAGAATAAGAGTCACAGAGCCATCGGCGCGCACAGCTTCACCAACTCCCTCGGGCTCCACATAGCCCTGCAGTAGAACCACCACGGAGTAGGGGTCTCCAGGCACCCGCAGAGGGGGCTCCCCACGCAGCGGCTCCGTCCGCACTAGACCGCTCATGACCGGAGAGGAACGGTCTAGGGAAAGAAAAGAGGGCTAGGCTGTGCGACACTGTCCAGTCCCTTTGGGTTTCCCACACGCGTCCGGCCGCCACCAAGTGGCATCTCCAAGACTCAGTTCTTGCCCACCCCCTCGCACTCTTAAGATGTTATTGCCCTCAACCCCCTCCCGCAGATGGTATCACCCAACCTTTTCTTGCTCCTGACGCCGGGTGCCCTTTCAATGTCTTCGACCCTCGCCTCGTTCCTCTTGCGTGGTAGCTCCACACTAATCCACCGCCAAAGAATGTCTTTTAGTTCCCTCACTATAACCGAAGCCGCTACCTTAGACCTAGTTTTACCCCTCTTGGATCTTGTCTCATTGTGAGGAAAGAACAGAGAGCTAAAAGCACGAGGGACTTTTGTCCTCTGAGAGCTGCCGTAAACCCATGTACGGTGGCCGAGTCGGCACCAGAGTGAATTTTAATCCTAGCGCATTCTCCGGCATGCACAAACTCAAACCTAAATACTGTGCCTAGCCTGAGTTTCCCTGCCAGTTTCCTTCAGCTACAGCGTTACGAAGCACGATTAGATTCTAACAGGACAGAGGCCAACGACCTCATTCTCTGAGTGGGGCGCTGCCACATCAGCTAGCTATGTTGTGCGCACGACCGACGGTTGTTTGAGACTTCGGGACTCAGCTGCTTTGTTTTGTTTTTCAAAGTTTACTAGCACAATAGAAAACCTGGCACCTGTGATTATATGGTGGACCCTCGGTGAAATTATATGAAGTAGACCAAGTATCTACACCACTTATCAACATTACTCCATCTCCATCCTTGATCACAGTTTGTTGGCATGTAGCCTCCTGGACGCAGGCGGGGTATGTAAGTTGTAGATGATGCCCTTCTGGCTTCCTCCTTGTAAGGGTCTAAAAAAGGCAGTGACCTTCCCAAGGCACACAACTCCTATGCCATTGTTGATCTCTGGGTGGGCTGAAAGTAGTAGAAATATTTAAAGGGAAAAGTCTTAAACACTGTCTCCACACACACCTAAAATTTACGCGCTAGAAGGCAGGCAGAGGGCTCATCTGTTGGGGTAGGGTTTCCTACCTACTGTTCACACTTTTCTCCCCATAGCCAGAGCATGCTGTACCATCAGGATCCTGCCTAAGGGCAGATGGGAGAGAACAACTACAAGCTCTGGGGTGAGTCTCACACACACCCTTAAAGCTGTAGAGCAGGGAAAGCTCAAACATCAGAGTGTTCTTCGTGATCCCCGTCCTTCGTGGAAGCTCAAAAGCAAGGGTCAAAGATCCTCTGGGTCATGCTTGGGGTGGCCTGGTATGTTAGTCATCTCTTCTTCCTTTTCCTTCTCTTCCTTCTCCTGATCTTGCTCCTCCTCCCCTCCTGTCTTCTCTTGCCCATCTGTGATCTTCTCCTTTCCAGTCCACGTTTCCTGTAGACATGCTAGGTTGGGTGATAGAAAACAATTTAGATACTGGTCCTGAGAGTAGGGGATATTGTGACCTGGCAGGAAAGGAACCAGCCCACACACTTACCGGTTTCAGCAGCTGGGAGCACATGACCTTCACAGAGAAAACGCTGTAGAGGCTGCTCCTGATGGTGGAAGTACCAGTCTCCCACTACGTCTTCAAACTCCTCCAGCATTGTCTCACACTGGTGAAGTGGAAGGGTCAGAAGGGTATCTGCTCTGCTGGGCTTTGGAAACCCTCCTCTTTGTTCTTTACTCCATATCCCCACCCCACCTTGGGAGAGGCAGGTAGCCAGGAAGTTAAACTTGGCTTACTAGATGTGTGATCCTCATTCATTCAACAAACATTTATTAGCTACTAATCCGTGGAGTACATTATTAAACTCTGAGTCTCAGCTTCTTGCCTATAAGATGGGAAATGGTAGTCAGGTTGTGGTGAGTGTAAAATAAGGCAGCAGCTGAAAGGTATGTGGCCCTGAATTTGCACGTAGTAGATACTCAATAAGTGGTAGTACATATTATTAGCCTCCATTATTACTTCTTGATATGCTCCTGGGCGCACCTCAATCAATGACAGTCCTTACTCTGTCCACTTCTCCCTGCCCAGAGCTATACTTCCCTAGGATCTAGACCACCTTCTTACCTCCTTGGGCTGTATCCTATCCTACCTGCTTCTTGAGGAACGTGACCTCCACACTGGGCTCGTCCCACAGCTCCAGAGGGATCCCCAGATCCACCTTCACCCCCTTCTGCACCAGGCCTTTCAGCGTTGCCATGGTCTCACTCTGCCCCTGAGAGATGGGAATGTGGGATCAGCCCAGTCCACTACCCTACTTCTTCCTTCCCATTCCCACCATACCGGTTTTGTCAACTGCTACAGACTGAGAGGAGGTGAGCTTCATGAGGGTGAGATGAGGGAGTCTAAAGATGAGGGTACACTCAAGAGCTGGGGAAGGTGGGCCCCATACGATACAGGTCTGAGAAGTAGAATCCTGCCCTGGGGAAGAGTCTGACCTTGGCATATCTCAGTGAGCCCTTGCGTTCAGCGTGAACACTGTAATCCAGGATCTGCTCACATAAATTCTCCATGGCCTCTTCTAGCCTTGTCTCTCTGTGGGAAGAGGGGAAACAAAGATTCCCTGAATACTGTACAAGCTGCCAGGGCTCCTTTGGGGGCTGGAAGGTGGAAGATCACCAGGAAGGACTCACGAAACACTGTAAGGGACATGTCTCTTCCTCTTGCCCGTGTCCAGCACCTGCCCCAGTTCCAGCACCTCTCGAGATCGGCTAGTGCGACTCAGTGCTTCTTGTAGCTCCAGGCTCAGCAGCTTACACACTACATGTCCAAGGGGATGTGAGAGATAAACAAACATGCCAGCAACTCATTCTGCAGATGAGCAAAAGCAGTAAAGCATGATGGTTACAAGTGCAGACTCTGGAGCCAGCCTGGCAGGTTTGCAGTCCTGACTCAGCCACTTAGTAACTGTATAACAATCCTGCTGTGCCTTGGTTTCTTCACCTATAAAACGGAGATAATAATAGTACCTCCTCATACAGGTATGGTGAGGATTAAACTAATCAATCTATGTAAAGCCCTTAGCATAATGCCTGCATGTAGTAAGTGCTATATAAGTCTTTGCTGTTGTTCTGCAAGTATTTGTTTAGCTCCTTTCTGGATGAACAATAGCAATACAGAGAGCGGTAAGACCTACCATGGGACATAGCCAATGTAGTTGGGGACTGATTAAAAAGATTGCAATATGGTGTGATGGATCCTACACTAGGGGTTTAAGACCAAGAGACAATCTCATTAGTAAAGGCAAAATCCATTCAATGGTTCCATATTGACTTCCTGCTAGCCCAGGATTTCCTTAAGGGTGAGCACTGCATCTGTTCCACCACTGTCTTTCCAGCACCTAGCATGTGACATGGCTCATTTTGAGTCCCAAGAAAAGAAGTGGCCCATACAGAAGTGCCAAGTGAATTAAACGCAGGCAAGTAAAAAAAGTGCCTAAAATGTGCCAGGCATTATGCTAAGACCTGGGAGACACAGGTATTCTCTTTCTCCGAGCGTTCACAAGACAGTGGGAGGTGACAGATAAGAAAGATTTCCAAAGGAGGTGACAGTTAAACTGGATCTTGAAGAACCACATAGAGAAGGGAGAGGGTTATTACAGGCAAAGGAAAAAAACAAAGTGCAAAGGCACAGAGATGCGAGAGGGTAAGGCAGGTTTGCTGATGGCTGAGAAGTTTAGTGTGGTTTAAGCATGGGTACTTTGGGAATGGAGGTGGGCGGGAGCATAAAACAAAGATATGTATGCTCTGTCCTAAAAAAATAAAAAATGTTGGTTGTATTCTGATTACTGCAGGAGGCCTACGTAGATGTTAAAGCAAGGATTGGCAAGATTGGGTCTTGTTTAGAAAAACTGACAGGTATAGGGAGAACCGTGGGGGCACAAGTTGAAAGGAGAGGAGAAATTAGGACCAGGTCTTGTGGACACTGCAATTCAGGTTAAGAGAAAAAGAATCCAGGGCCTGGAAGGCAACAAACTAGGGAACTGGAGCACTCAATGTCCCAATTCTGAAGTGCCCCCTCCCAGCTGGGCCCCATACATAATAATGCAGCCGCAGAAGGTTTGCTGTAAAATCCAAATACGCCCGTTGAAAAGCCTGACACCTACGGGGAACCTCTCCCAGTTGTGTGGCCTCCTCTTTCATTTATGAGCTTCAAAAGCTGATTTACTCATCCCTGAACCCCCTCAGGAGGGCGCAGGACCTGTAATTTGGGAGTGTCTCTGCCGAGGTCGAGCAAACAGAAGGTATGAGCCTCACACCCGGCCCCTGCAGGATCTCCAGACTTAGGTCTACTGACAGTGGAAACACACACACTGAAGATACTCAGTAGAGGGGGGTGGTCCTGCGCATAGTCCCTGAACTACAATTCCCACAAACCATTGTGGCCCAAGCGAGCCAGAAAAAGCGGGCTCTCTCTGGCTGTCTTGTGGGAATTGTAGTGCCATAGTTTTAGGATAACGCTATAGGGCCCCCCTCCCCCGCCCCTTGATCCCATTCGGTTTCCCTCAGGACTTAAAGGAGGTTGAATAACCCACCCATCACAGTCCATTTCCTCCGGCCCAGACAAAGGAGGTGGAGCAGAGGGATGCTAATAGGGGCTACTCCCTTCAGATACCTTCGCATTTGCTGGGCAAGCGTTCTGTGTCATCATCCTCCTTCGGCGTCCCAGGCCAAGCTGGGACGTACACAGTCAAAGTGAAAAGCAACATCCCCAACCGCACAGGTCCCATGACAAAGTGCAGTCCACAACCAGCCACCCCTTGCCTTCAGACCAACTTCGGGCAGGCAGCGGGCCCTTTTAATTCCATGGGGGTAGGCGGCAACTTTAACCTAGCACGAGAGGCGCACGCGCAGAGCCGGCCCAAAAGGGCGTGGGGCCACCCTGAGCTCAGGCCTTTCCCCGCCTTGGTTTTGTGGCGCCTCCCGAAGGTCCTGGCCGCCGGATAGTGAAGGAATAAACAGAAGTAATTGCAACAAAAGTGTTTGCTCCTTACACATAGATAGTGAACAGCGTTTTTATATCGTTCGAGGCCGTGAGTCTAGAGGACTTAATCCGGCTCGGAGAAGGGGTAGTGACTCGTTCCCCGTCTCTGCCAGGACCTGCTGCTGGGAGGGGCGGGGCCAACATGGCGCCGAGCGCCGGGTGAGCGGCGCTTTGGCGGCGGTGAGAGTTTCTTCCTGCGCGGGGCGCTCCGCTGGCAGGGGAGGGTCGAGTGGTACCCGGACTAGACCCCTTGACGGGCCTGTG